CTTCCGATCTCCCCAAAACCCCAAAACCCCATATAGTTTCAATTGATATTAATTGAAGGAAATGAAAACAATATAGGTGAAATTTTTCTCATTATTTAATCAGTTGTGTGTTCTATTTAATCTAAAGACTTTTATCTCCAAGAGCCTAAAACAATTAATATATAAAGATGATCAAAATGGACAGTAAGGAGTGGGAAAACTTCATATAACAAATAGAATTTATTAAAACAAAATCGAATCGTTAAGTTCTCTGTGCAAAGTGCTGGTTGATGCTTAACTATGAGTAAAAAATTAAACATATAAAAGATCACCCTGATCATGAGCTCTCCATATTAACTTCTACTAAATTCGCATCATCACAATAGATGATTTCTCTAGCTTAAGCCTGCAATAAATTAGTAAATAAAAGTGATGGACAGTATATTTTATCTCCATTCATCCAGATTGGGAAGTCATTATTTGAGGGACAGGAGGGCCTTCAAATTATGAGCGTATAAAATAATTCGATGATATTATAGAGTACATCCACAGAATCATAAAATGGAAACTATGATAATAGCTCCAAGGACGGTAAAGACTTAGTTCAAAGTGTATAGGACAGGATGACGAAAATAGAAGGTACAGTTGAAAATATAAAAAATACACTTAATATTTTCGCTCAGTGCATGTAAAGCAATCATATACTATAGTAATAGATACTCCATTAACTAGAGGTATAGAATGCGAATAATCAAAACTCATGTGTCCCATCATCATGTGAGAATCTAAATGTAAATGAGAATTAATGGATCACATAGAATTAAATAAAGGAAGAGTAAATGTAGATTGATTTAACAGAGAAAAAATCTGATAAATATCTGGCTGATGAACGACAAAATATCAGTCAGATTGATAAGATTGATAATTCTTAAGCGAACACCTCAAATTTTGAGTTGAGTCAGAAATTGACTTCTATTAATAAATTCTAGAAAATTTGGAATTAAAAACAAACAAAATCTGACTCTAGTTAAGTCAAATCATATGATGACTTAGATTTCAACCCATTTAAGCATAAATACCAGGGATAAAGTTAGCCTTTGGATGAAGAAATGACTGATGCATAGGTTTGGTAACGGTACTCTATAATTGAAGCAGACAACTTTTTCATTTAGGTTAATGAAATGCACGTTGGAAATAAACGCCATTATAATTAAATGTCTTAGGATGTCCTCTAAATTGACGAAGACTGACAAAGATTAATTTTGTAATGATTAAAGTATTTCATCAATCAAGAACAGACTGTAAATGAAAAGTGGAAATCTAGTATTTACTTTAGTAGATATAAGTGATTGATAAAATATATTGATCTTGATAATAAGAATCTTTATCTAATTATAGTTAAATAGTATTATTTTTCCCATTTATTATTCATAATCCATTAACTTTTACATTTACTACCATTTTCTTTTTTCCTATTGATCGACTACTAACGGGGTTTTGGGGTTTTGGGGTTTTGGGG